CCTAGAAACTCCTGGGAAAAAGCTATTAATAACAATTTGCTAGTAATACAGACACTTTAAAAAAAACCCAAACAACTGCGAGCCCCAAGCAGCCTCATCTTCGCCTCAGTTCTCGGCCCCCCTCGTCAGACTCAGACTGGGGTCACCTTCCCTGGGCACGTTGGCCCTGGGAAGCCCAGCAGGCCAAGCCGTGAGGCCGCCCGGGCCTGCGACGAGGCAGGGCCGGCCGGCTGCGGTGGTGGGACCAGGAGCAGGCGTGGCTGGAAACTGAAAAGGACCAACGCAACTTCGGTTTGCCCCGAGGACACGCACCCTTCAACAGCACATCTCCCGCCATTCACATACCTGGCTGCTCAAGTCTGCTTTCAAGTATGCCTGACCCGGGGTAAATGGGATTTTCTTCCCTTGCTGTTCCCAGAAAAGATGTGGGAGCCAGCTTTACCCTCACGGCTGGCTGGAGGCCACAGTGGTTCATCAGTCCGTGAGGAAACCTGTACCCCAGCCTGCTGGGAAAGCCCTGGTGCCCAGACCCTCTGGTGAGGAGAGATCTGGGGATGGCCACAATATCCAGAAATGCAACATGCTGCCTGTGGATATGTGGTAGAGGTTTGACCAAGTCTGAGTTGCCCCAGAAACTTGTCTGTGCCTTGAAATTATGCAAATATGTTCCCTGTTTCATTGCTTCCTTCTCTGCTGCTTCCCACAGTCTCTTCTGAAGCTAAAGAGGCAAAGCCTGTTCCTGGTGAGATCGATGACATCAATCCTCCACTGCAGCTTCATGTAATGCCATATAAGTGGGATTTTTCCTATCTCAATGTATGCACATAAATCCATCACTGAATGCCGCAAACTTTCACACGTACTTTGAGGGGCAAAGGCATTGTAGTAAAACATCTTGACTTGCTTCTAATAGTTTGGGTGCTTGCCTTAAATTCATGTGGTGGTCAGCCTATAAACGTTCCCCAGGCTTCTGTGTGAGCATCACTCCATCTTTGCTTAAAGGAAATTAATGCCCTGTGATCAAGTTTGCTCACCCATTGACCTTTGTGCCAAAGTTAATTTTCTTCTTAGCAGCTGGTACAGTGCTGTGTTTTGGATTTAGTATGAGAACAATGTTGATAACAGACTGATGTTTTAGTTGTTGCTAAGTAGTGCTTACGCTAGTCAAGGACTTTCCAGCTTCCCATGCTCTACCGACTGAGAAGGCTGGAGGGGCACAAGAAGCTGGGAGGGGGCACAGCCAAACTGGC